TGGAGTCCATAAATTAATTTGTGTATATTCCCTGGGGACAGAGGGAGTATAGATTAGCTCCCTCTAGACCCAACTTGTATAGCATGTGTAAGTTTACTATGGTATTTTTAAAAAGCACGTATAGTAGCTTACCTGTCTTATAACTACTGTAAAACCTCAAACTTAACCTTTAAAAATCGGGAATGCCATAGATTTGTAGCTGATGCTCACATTAATTTGTATTCAGAAAACAGTTCACAATAGGGTCACATCCAGTTAACATCCTGTTATTTGACCCAGAGTAGCATTCACTGTTGCAGATGACCAGAAGATGGCACGAAAACTCCCGATCCTGAAATCTCAGGCCTCCCTGTTTTGGCTCTGTGACAGGAGTCTTACAGATGAAGGGTCAATACTAAGGAACCAGTTGTCCGAATCTGAATTCACTCCAATCTCCTGCCAATTAAGTCCCGTCTTTTTGCTAGATCGTAAGGCTGAGGCTGTAATAAGGGGGGAAAGATATTAATTTGCCTTACAGTCTTAACAGTGCTCAAGACTCTGTTAAACTGGTTTTAATATGGCGTCTCAGCCTTCCTCAGTGCCGCTGCAGCAATACCATTGTCCCTTTCTAGGCAGGTGGGATTGGCACTGAGGGTGATAAACAAGCAAGCTGGTGTTTGCGGGCTGCTCTCATTGAGGTCTTCCAAGCACGTGGAACAACGTGTTTTGCAGAATTTGCAGGCTTTTCTTTGAACATGTTGGACACAGGCCTGCTCATATTAAATCCAGGTAAAACTTTGCCTGTTGCTTCCAGAGGAACAGGGACTGCTATTTGTGGTCAGACTTCTAGCTTATTTATTCCTCTGTTATACTGTAATTTATTATTAGAGCTACAGAGGAGGTCTGTTGGACATGCCTTTTTAAAGTCCAACTTTATGTGACTTTTCAGATGCTTCACCTTATTTTTCATTATTATTACTGCAACATACAAGACGTTCTAAAATACTTACTCCACAAAAGCCGTGTCAGATATTTGAGGTGTTAACCTCAGGTATATCTGCAGTGTGTCTTTCACTATTGTTTGTTTTTCTTCAACTATTACTCTATCTCAGGTTATTTAAAAATACAAGGGATTATAATACAATATCCTGACTGCAATAACGCTGAACAGGAGGGGCAAGAAGTCCTGCAATTAGAGATAATATGCAGTCACTGGCTGTGCAGCCATTTGGGTGAAAGTCTTGTCCTAACCCCAAATAGGCTTCAGACTTCAGCTTTGCCACATGAAATGCCCCATGCATGCCCCATCGCCTGGTCTGCGTGGAGAACATTTCCACGCGGCAGCCCTGATGAGCATGGCTTTCACCCACCGATTCAGAGGTGACTTTGTCAGTTTTATAGTTGGTATTGCAGTTAGAGAGCAAATGTGAAAAACAGCTTCAAAAGACCGACTTGGAGTACGTACTGCTCAGAGTTTGTATTTAATCTTTAGTTGTTGGTTTCTGTGGGAGTTACCAAACCAGTTGAGCTACAGCACTGGCATGAAGCCAAATGAAAAATACAGTTTTCTTCACTGTAAACATGACTGTCAAGCAGTAATGTTTTTCTCAGCTTCATTTTAAAGGCATTTTAATGGAAGAAAATGAAACTAAAACACGTTTTTATGCCAGTATTATACATGGAAGAATGTTACTTTTTTCTTTTAATGAAAAACTCTTAAAGAATAGAACATACAAAATTATGTCTTAATAAGTATGTAATCAGTTGTCCGTGTTGCTAGATACTTGATGGAGTTGGTAAACCAATACATTTCTTATTCTGGTGTAGTTATGGTGAGAATACATTTTTTTTTTTGCCTCTGCAAACATGAAAGATATGTAAAGTTCTTTATTTTTAGTCTTGTTTTGATAACAGAAAAAAAAATAGTGCCTGATAAAACTTAATGAATAATATCAACAAACACTAATCTCTATCCGCTCCTTCAGGCTTATTTTTAAACTCTCTTTTCAGTGGCCAAAAGCTCTGTTAACTCATCTTCAGGTATTCTCCTGAACTTGGCCATCCTTGCTTTGCTTTTGGGATTTATTTTGTTGAAAAATGTGTAAGTTCAGCTTTGCCTTTCTAAGATAAATGCACACTATATTTAATTCTCACAGTGATTTCACCAGGACGTCGTCATGTAGGTGTGGCTGCACCAAACGGGGAACAACAGCGTTTTCACTTACATTTCAGAATTAAATTTATCAGAGTTGTCTGCTTTGCCTGTAACTCCCTCCGTTGTATTTTGCAGAGTGAGGAAGAAGCTTGTTTAACAAAATGTCTGATCAGCTGCTGCTTTGTAAAATGGCTTTTTGGGTACTAGGATTGGAAATTGCATCTTGAAGATTGGATGTCTGCATCCATGTAACTTGATGCACCGGAGGATGGAAAATCCTTCAGTTGTGCTTCATTGTTTGAATGAGCTTTTTTAAGAGTTTTGTAATAGAAAAGTAAGAAATAGGACTGGAAGGGAATTTATAAAAGTCTTCTCATCTGTCCTGTCTCTTGAGACAGAATCAGCTGCAGTGAAACCTTTCCTGATAGATACTTGTCTCACCTCTTCCTTATAACATCAGATGGCAGCGATTCCTTTGTTTCCCTATGTAATCTGTGCTAATGCTTTGGGTAATTAGGAAGTTTTTGTTAAGTATATGTGGATAGTTGAACAACAGAATTTTAAAATAAATTTTATTAGTACCAGCATATTTTTGTTTGCATATCTAATCCTTTTATTAAAAAATTCAACCCACCTCACTTGGTCTGGATGTTTGCAGGCATAGAGAAATTAAGAAATTATTGAAAGCAGACATACATTCTGTAGGTGAATTAATGAAATGGTGTCCAGCTCTCTGAAGGAATAGTGATGAAAATTACACAGAGATCTCTGAAGTTCTCTGCAGATCTCCTGAGCGATGTTGATGCTGAAATCGGCCAGGAAGATCCTTCTTTCATTGTGTTGTGGAAACAGCACCAAACTGATGTTCAGATCTTGCACTTACTGCGCGGTGCAATACGTGCTGCAGTAGTAATGAATTGTATTCAGGTTTTGAAGATGATAGTCAAGGAGTGGCTGTTTGACTGGACACCTTCAAGATCTTGTGTATGAGTGGTAACATCACTCTTTTCTGTATCAATGTCCCATGTTTACCCTAAGAAATAAGCTTTTCTTTTGGATCTTGGGATGAGCCAGCTCCTCAGAGTTCAAGGTACTGTCCCAGCAAGGAAGTGTTGAAAACAACAGGCTATTGTTGCACTTGGGCGTGCGTTGTCCTGGACCCTGGGCGTCTGTATCCTGCCTCGCAGGCGCTATGAGCTCAGTCACAGCCACTGGCTCTGGGCAGGCAGCCCCAATTTCAAGGAAACAGTAAAACACTAATGGCTGCTGTCGCCAGCAATGGTCTCAGGGCAACACAGCTCCGCTGTTGAGGAGGGTTTTCTTAAAACGTGGGTTTTAAGGAGTTCGTAGAAGAGTAATGAGGTAGTTCTGTGGATCTTTGTGGGGAGTTTTCTGCACCGTAATAAGAGGAGTAGGAAGAAGCACACAGAGCAAGCCTTGAAAACTTCCCAGGAAGCAGTGGCATGGCATGCTGAGCTGGAGTGGAAGTGAATGTTTCGATAATGGAGAAGAGAGGAGGGGTGAGATGGAGGTTGGCCAGAAAGGATCCTGAAACTGCAGAAAAGGCGCTATATTTAAGGAAAGATAGGGAAGGGAATTGATGACAGGAAAAAACTCGAGGAGACAGACTTGGGACAGGGCATCGACTAAGAAGAGTGTTTGCAGTAGTATTCTAAGTAGGAGTGAGATAGACTTGTATTTACTGATGCCAGTAAAAGGGATGTTGCAATAATCAAGATACAGGAAGATGAAAGTCCAGACAAGGGTTTTAGCTGTGTACAGCTAGATAAGAAAGACTATATTTGAGAGAAGTTACTCTGAAAGAACTGCCAACATTTAAGTTTGGTTCATTATTTATTGATTTTAAAGATTATTTTAGTTACATTTTCCTATCACGAACAAGGGGGTGATGGGCTTTTGGTTTGGTTTTTTGTGTGTGTTTTTTTTAACTTAATTGTCTTGCTTTTTATTTCCCATTCTTTCCTCACGCTACAAGATCATTTTGCTGGGGCGGGAGCAGGGCTTTCTGCCTGCTTATGTATCTGTGCTTCACATGGCAAAGTTGGGAAGGCAACCCACAGAGAATGGCTGGCATCTCTGCAAAGAGTGGAAGCACACTAGCGTTGCTGTCTTCTAAGAACACTTAGTAAAGAAAAGAAGGGAGGGTAGCATTAAAGGAAAAAGAAAAAAGGGAAGGCAAATCATCAGAGAAATGTTGATAGCAGTGAGAAAAGTGTTACACGAGGCTCAGTGTTTTTTCTTTAACTGGGTAAATATTTTTAGCGTTATTTCAGAACTACTCAAGAGAAGGGGACGAAGCTCTTATGGAAGTATCAAAGCGGCAAAAGCAAAGGGATTTGACTAGCTTAGGCTGTTCAAAACGGATTGACTGCATTTCAAGTTGAGGCGGAGCCAGGGTGGGCACTAGGACTCAAAAGCTTAGGAGGGCTCCGGGTCTGCTAATTTTAGGCATTGCCAGGGAGATTTCTTTTGATGACCAAATGCAATGGAGAAACTTGTGGGTGATAAGTGATTCATTTAAGCTACAAAACAAATAAACTTCTGAAATGTTCAATCGGCACTGGTCACAGTAACTAGGATGTTTTATGCATGTCTGTATGGAGACAGATACTGGACATTCTGTCACTTACAAAAACATCCAGTAAAGCAATGAAAATGAGCTTACGTGCATCTTTTGGTCCTTTTTCCAGTGTAACGATGCTGCAGGCAGTGAGGTATTTCTTAAGGTCCTGCATCTGTTTCACTTGAGGACTTTGAGATGATACTTCTGCTTCCATTTTCTATAAAGCCAGGGTTACACCAGCTTTCTGTACTGACTTGGTTCTTGTGCTGCTCATCTTCACAGCCCGGAAGTCCAAAAAGTTGGGGAAATTGAAAGGGATGCACGAGGAGCAGCCACAGCAGCGGCAGCAGCCACCACCCCAGAGCCCCGAGGAAGGGACGACGTACATCGCGCCTGTGACTGAGCCCTCTGTAAACACAGCACTTGTCCCCCACATGTCTGCTATCTCACCAGCACTTACTCCCTCTCCTGTTAAGATCCTTGAAAGCATTGAACCGGAGATCGTGTACGCAGGATACGACAGTTCGAAGCCAGACACAGCGGAGTACCTGCTTTCCACCTTAAACCGCCTGGCTGGCAAGCAGATGATTCAGGTGGTGAAGTGGGCAAAGATACTTCCAGGTAGGACCACAAGGCATTTGGTGAAATTTCTCTTCACTGTTTCTTTTAGCTTAATGAACTATTTGCTTGACAAATTGCAGCTTTAATCTGTGGGCTGTGTTGAAAACCCTCACGGGGGGTGTGAGATGAACATCTGAGAGAAGATTGTTGGTTTTTTTATTTATGTAATGTTTGTTTCATATGTCTGTGATTGGTATTTAAAAAGCTTTCATTTTGAATAATAGCCTCTTAAGAAGAAAACATGTTTTGTCACTGGAATGAAAAATTACGGTTTTGTTTTTTCAGAAGTATACTTTGTGGGAGTGTTCCTCTTGTTCGTTAATGCTAGAAAAATAATGAGCAATGTATTCAGTGCTGGTTTGGCCAACCCTTGTAGAGCGCAATGTAGTTCATAGGTATTTTCTGGTTTGATCTCTAGGATTTAGAAACTTGCCTCTCGAGGACCAAATTACTTTAATTCAGTATTCTTGGATGTGTCTGTCAGCAAAAAAAAAAAAAAAAAAAAAATTGATCTTCGATAAGTATTCCTTAATGGTCTTTTTCAGTGCAGGCTGGAAGGACTGCTCTGTCTGTCTCGCTCCAGACCTGATCTTCGATGAGTAAGTATTCCTTAATGGTCTTTTTCAGTGCAGGCTGGAAGGACTGCTCTGTCTTTATTTGGTTTTCAGGCATACCTGCAGTCTAAGAAAATTTCAGCTAATTCCGGCTTAAAAAGTAGCTTAACTTTTTTTTCTTTAGTGACTCAGTTTTCAATTGGCGAAGCTTTGATACTGCCATCCGCTTCTCCTTATGTATGTGGATGTGTTCTCAAACTAGGACCATCCTGCTGGCTTGAAATATGACTGATTCATGACCAAGACTTGTAGAATAAAACATTTTTTTGTTATCTACTGGAGCTTGGAAAAATATCTAACTTCTAGGAAATGTGAATGTTTAAATTGCCAGTTTTTTTCAGAGCAGTCATGTAATGGTGCTTTTGTTAACAATATACAGCTGTTCAATGTGTTTTCTTGACAGTCTTAATTACCCTTCTTTGCAACCATGAAAGAAGCCAAAATGTTTTTTCAGTAATGAAACATAACTTCTTTTATGATGCATTCAGACAAAAAGAAGGATCAACCAAGGAGCCATTCCTTCTGAGTATGTGTGTTCCTTCATATTTTAAGTTTGTGTTTTAGTGCTTTGCTTTTGATGAGTATAATTTAATTTCTGCTCCATTCGCCTAGTGTTTATTCCAAGACAGCAAAGTCAAAATTTAAGCGAATACACAGGCAGTCAAACTGGGATCACATCATATGCTTATCCCAGAAGGTTATTTTTTTTCCTAGAGGTAAAAATGAGACATAATAGGATATGAGTGCTCTTGAAGGAAAAAAAAAAAAAAAACCACAAGAGGAAAAGAATGAACAAAAAATAACTTACCGCTCAATCTCCTGAAGCGTTCTGAAATGTTTTTCTTGAAGAAGATGCTTTGTCGCTGTCCATCTTAATAGTCTTTCTTTGATTTAGGTATTCCTAAATAATTAATGCATATGAGATTGGTCCCAAAGCAGGGAGCAATATCAAAGGAGGATCGTGTGGTTTGGGTTTTTTTTCTTTTAAGAGGAGGAACTGGTGATTCACTGCATGTGGTTGAAAATGTAGTGTCAGCCATTTTCCTTGTTGAAAGCACCTCCACTGTGACTTGGACATTAGCGAATCATCATGGAAAAAGTATCTCTAGCTAAAGCTAAGTGAAAATGTGAACTTTGAAGAGTTTAGTTCTCCTGGGGAAATGTAGACTAAAAGTTCAAACACAGAAGCAGCTTTCCCTCATCTGAAGAAAGTCAGTCGGGGGGTCAAAATTTATTGGACAGGGAAATCAATCTCGCTTGCAAATAAAAGTGTATGTGCATTGCTAGCATTCTTGATACTGCAGCTAGAAGCAGCTTCCAGAAGTCGAGATCAATTGTGAGTTTTATGCTTCAAGCCTTGAAGGTAGGTGCCTGCAGAATTATACTGAGGTTGAGGTTGGGATCCAGTCAGGAAAAGGAGTGCAATGTCATAGAGTGCAAAATAAAAACACCCCAAACCAGATATGTATGTAAGATAGTGGTCAGGTCTTCTACATATTTAACAATGTACTCATTGCAGAGCTACCAAAGGTAGCAGAAGGCAGGTGTTTCTGAAGAGAAGAAAAATAAATTACCAGGAGCTGTGTTGAGCTGTGAGATGTGGGACAGGGGCTTTTGAAGTAGCTAATCAGGGCAAGAAATTTCCTTGGAGGTAAAAGGGTAGGAGTTCAGTGCTTACTCCAGAATGGTAATGGACACATCTCTGGAATGAGAGGTTTTTTCTCACTTCACTCATATTTCATACTCAGTGGGAATCGTGGGAGACATTTGTTCCACCAAGTTTCTCACACTGTAGCTCAGAGGGTGGTAGTTGTGAGACTGCATTTGGAGTATGAGTTTTGGGCTCCCTGGCACAGGAAAGTTGTTAAGAAACTGCAGAGAGCCCCATGGAGTTTGGCCAAGGTGGTTGGGGGCTGGTTGGGACAGCAAGGGAGGTGGGCTTGTGCAGCCAGGAGAAGACTGTGCTGGGTGCAGTGGGGATTTAATTGCAGCCTTCAGCTTCCTCATGAGTTGTTGTAGAAAAGATGGAGTCAGACTCTTCATGGAGGTGCCCAGTGGAAGGATAAGAGGCTGCGATCGCAAGTCTAGGACAACAAACTGCCTCCTGGGCAGCAGGAGAAGAAAGTTCATAATGAGATGGTGAAACAGCAGATCAGGTGCCCAGAGAGACCCTGGAGTCTCTGTCTTTGAAGATGTCCAAGCCTTGACTCGGCAAAGCCCTGAGCAACCTGCTCCAACTTTGACATTAGCCCTGCTGCGAGCAGGGGGTTGGACTTGAGACCTCCAAAGGTCCCTCCCAAGCTAAATTATTTTGTGATTCCAAGTTCAAGAGATGCAGTGCTTTTCCCAATTTTGACATAAGGTCAGAGGTGAGTTACTGGAATTGTACAAGTCAGCCAATACAGTTCAGTGTAGAAAGCATTCAGATAAGCACAAAACATAATATATATTCCTGTTTGTGAAAATACACTGCTTTGAAGCTTTGCTGAAGGCTGGTCTTACCTTTACTTTTTGAGTACCATGAACTTGGAAATACGGTGTGTAGTTACAAACATGGGCCTTCATTTCTGTGCCACGAGGTTTATCAGACCTCCCTAAGGTTCAGTTGGTGCAACTTTTTGAGTGTTTTACTGCCCTTGGCATTTTAGGACATGTATTAGTTGATGCAGAATGAAAGGGTGATCCTTTAAAATGACTTTTTCTTCTGCTGGCTTGAGAGCGCTATGTTCCTGTTATCACCTGGCCAAGATTTTCTTGGTATTTCTTCACACTGTGCCTGGAGAGGTCATTTCCCATCTCTATGCAAGAAGTAATTAGGAGGGTCCCCGGCCAGTAGCATGCACTCAGTGCCACAGAGGGTTCAGCATTTTCTTCAATGAACAGTTAAAAAAAAGTGAAAGTAGAGGTTGGCATTAGCAGAATTATGTTGCTTTGTTTTACGTTAAATGAATTTTCCGTTTACTCTTAACTGCTGTGAATAAAAGAAAGTCTTAATGTTTCTGGAAGGCCATGATATATGATCTTGTTTTCTTTCTTATTCTGAAGGCCTGTAAACAAGGTGAATAACAAATGAGGATCTCTGTTGTTAATAGCTGTTAAATGTACCTTTGATTGTATAAATACAGTGCAAAATGCCTCCCTACTAATACGTGGTTTGATTTCCTGTTAGGCTTATGGAAGGCTGGAAATATTTGTCCACCTTCATTTAGTCATGTTACATATCTAATTTAAGTGTACTGTTTGTCCTTATGGATCACGGGTATATTCCATTGCTTTATTTGGGCTTAAGTAAACGCGAAGGTGTGAACTGAGGGATAAGAAAATGGCCACTCAACCTGTTACAGAAATGCCTAAAAACAGTGTGAAAACAGGCATAAAATAGACCAGTGTATTTTATGATGTCGTGTGTGTAAGTTACAGTACGTGGTTTTCTTAATCCATTTTGTTCATAGCATAGTAGTTGTAATCAAAACTAATATATATATAGCACTTTAGTTTTAATCCACAGTAAATCTTTAAAAGACCATCATATATGTGACACCATATAATTCCTATTGCAGGTAAACACTCTTAAAGGATGACTTTGCATATGTAATAACACTCAAAAGATGCTGCAACAATGTTCTTAAGGCTGCAAGCTCAAATCTGAGAAGTTGCAAAATTCCAAAATTAAGGTGGCCTGTGAAATCGTAGTTTGAGCCCTTTGGGTACGTGCTTTGAAGACTGTATGCATTACCAAACCTTTAAGTTACGTTATCCCGTAATACTTTTCCCGTGTGACTCCTTCCTTTTTGTATTGATCAGGTTGGATGAGTTGTAGGGATGATACAGGATTATGTAGTGAGAGACTGTTGGATTCTTTGCTTCATTTGTTGCAGGCGAGGAAGCCTTACCTTGAATGGATCTAGGGATTTGGGAGAACAGAGATACATTAATGGGGAAGATTTTCCTAAGACATGGCAAAAGACTACCCTGATTCAAGACCTAAGCTCTAAGACGTTGTAGGTTCCTACTGCAAAGTAACAGAAATCCCACAGAAAAAAATGGCTGTTGTTTATTTAACTCGAGGGAGGGAGAAAATGTCTCTTACGGCTTAACCAAAGACTTTAGCTGAAATTTTCTAATCTAACTCAACCTGAGGCAGGCATATGCATGGACAGTTTAAGTCCAGAGCACTAAATTGGTAAAATTATACACAACAGAAAGCAGGAAACTGCGTGGTGCTGCTTGGAACGGGTGCAAGAACAAAGCAAGGGATGTAGCAAAATACAATGTTTTTTAGCGCTAGCTTATTTTCAGAGATTCTGTCTGAAGCTATGCAAAATGAATTGTTTGCTACAGGGGACAGCCTAAAACATGATTTTTAAGATGTGGTCCTGGAAAGTAGGAATTTAGTTTCAAATTGCCTTGGTCTCTCCCTTACTGAATGACTTAATCATTGAGCTAATAGCTAAAACAACTCTTTCTCTGGCTGTGTCCTTTTGAAGGAAAAGTCCCCAACATTTTTGAAAAGAGGCAGCATGACAGTTTAGGTCCTAGAAGAAATCTGATGATCCGAATCTTTCAATAGTAGGAGTTTATGTGTTTGCAGTGCAGAAGTCGGATGCCTAAATCCCAGAGGAAGGCAAGGGACACTCCTTCTTGCTCACGTTTCTGTGATGGGCTTGGGCAGTTGCTGTCCCTCCGGCTAGTGGTGACAACTTCCCAGGTATCTGCTTCCACCCATACATTAAGTCAGGGCATTGGCTGGCAACTTTTCAGAGGCTCAGGAAGGGATAAAAAGCATTTACGAGTGCAGCACTGCCAACAGAAACCCGGCAGGAGCCAAGATGTGGCGCGACGGGGATCCTCGCTCCCCCAACGTGGGAAACCAGCAGGAGCAGTGGGAGACGGGCTGCGTTCAGGGCCACATATCCCCTTCCCAGCTGGAGGCCAGAAACTGCATCCCACATGGCAAGCTGCTCTGCTTATCCATCCCTTCCCCT